TCCCCCTGCTTGTGTTCCCTCTCTCGCTGTGTCTCTCTCTGTCAAATAAATAAATAAAATCTTAAAAAAAATAATAATATTGCTAACTCAATAATCCTAAATTATTTAATCTAAAGATTACTAAAAAAACTAAAATGGGGCGCCTGGGTGGCTCAGGTGGTTAAGCGTCTGCCTTCAGTTCAGGTCATGATCCCAGTGTCCCTGCTCAGCTGGGAGTCTGTATCTCCCTCTCCCGCTGCCCCTCTCTCCCTACTTGTGTTCTCTCACTCTCTCTCAAATAAATAAATAAAATCTTAAAAAAAAACCACTAAACTAAATGCCCCCCCACTGGACTCTAGAATTTCATCTACTTACCTGATTTTATACTATCAGGTAGCAAAATTATTTCATATCTCAATAATATTTTTAATGAATTTTCAAATGTACAGTTTCATTTTACACTCCTAACATCCTTGTGAGTCAGGAAGGGTAGCACTTATCATTCATATTGTTAACAATGCAATTAGTGAGGGACAAGAAATCAGCTTCTCTCTTGCATGAACATACTGGAAATATTTTTTTCAAAAGGAAGTGAATGCTTGCTATTAAGAGATCTCAGCTGGGGGCACCTGAGTGGTCAGATAGTTAAGCGTCTGCCTTCGGCTCAGGTCATGATCCCAGGGTCCTGGAATCGAGCCCCATATCTAGCTCCCTGCTCAGCGGGGACTCTGCTTCTCCCTCTCCCTCTGCCTCTCCCCCTGCTCATGCTCCCTCTCTCTGTATCTGTCTCAGGTGAATAAATAAAATCTTTCTAAAAAAAAAAGAGAGAGAGAGATCTCAACTGTACCTTTGATAGACACGTATCCTACTTTTTTCTTCAACTGACAATGCTTCCGAGAAGGTGTCTGCTGTATCTGCATCACTGTGGACTAGAGAATTCCCCAGTTCGGTGAGTGTGCTCCTGCTCAAACTAGTTCCTAGGGAAAACCTATCAAAACCTGGAACCTCAGCTGGTTTTTCTTCTTCAACTGGTTCCCAGATATTCATCTCAAAAGAACCTATATTTCTCTGCACACGTTTTAGGGCTTTCACTCTCACTTTATGTATAGAATGCATAATAACAGACATCATTTCCTCAGTTTGGGGACCTATAAAGGAAAAAACAAAAGGCCTTAGAGTAAATTAAAATGTTTCCATTCAAGACAAAGGGGGACCCAATTCCAGCCCCTCCTGGGAACACGGAATCCAACTGATGATTAAGATTTATTTCCATATTCTTACAGAGCATGCTTTCTTCAGTATTTGTTAGAAAGCTATGTTCCGCATTTTGAAGTAGAATTGCAGAAGTTAGAGAAGGTCCATTAAAGAACAATAAAAGGGACAGAATCCAGACTCCATAAGACCATATGCCCTGGAAAACAAAAAATTAAGAAGTAATTTAACTATTTCAGGGCACCTGGGTGGCTCAGTTGGTTGAGTGTCTGGCTCTTGATTTCAGCTCAGGTTGTGGTCTCGGGGTCATGGGCTGGAGCCCCATTCAGGCTCCGCGCTGGGCATGGAGCCTGCTTGAGATTCTCTCTCCCCCTCTCCCTCTGCCCCTCTCCCTGCACTCACTCTCCCTCTCTCAAATAAATAAACAAATCTTTTTTAAAAAGAATTTAACTGTTTAAAAAATCAGACAGATAATTACAGAAAGAATCACTATAATTTTTCCATTCCTGAGTGATAAATAAGAGAAAAGGAGTATAATTTTAGCCAAAGAAACAAGAACACCTTTCTGACCTCAAATAACGGGAAACAATAGGAAGGGAAGGTTTTCAAGGCTGCCTACAGAAAAAATCTTAAACATTATTATACATAAGCAGGACATTTTAGAGAATGTCAAAAAAGTATAAAGAAAAATATAAAACAGAAATATATTAATGCAATAATGTATAATCACAGGACATAACTAGACTTAAATACTATAGTTATTAAAAAAGAGGGCAATTTAGGGGCGCCTGGGTGGCTCAGTCGTTAAGCTTCTGTCTTCGGCTCAGGTCATGATCCCAGGGTCCTGGGATCGAGCCCCACATCAGGCTCCCTGCTCTGCGGGAAGCCTGTTTCTCCCTCTCCTACTCCCCGTGCTTGTGATCCTGCTCTCTGTGTCTCTGTCAAATAAATAAATAAAATCTTTAAAAAAAAAAAAAAAGAGGGTAATTTGAATTCTTTAAAAACTTCCACATGTGAATGTATTTAATGTCACTGAATTGTATACTTAAAAATGGCAAATTTTATATTATGTATATTTTAACCACAAGAAAAAAAATTTCCACAAGGGCATCTTGAATGTATAGGATAAAATTAGCAATACAAATAACCATAAAGGAAGAGGAAGAATAGTTTTCTTTTTTTTTTTTAAGATTTTATTTATTTATTTATTTTGACAGAGAGACAGCGAGAGAGGGAACACAAGCAGGGGGAGGGGTAGAGAGAGAAAAGCAGGCTTCCTGCTGAGCAGGGAGCCAGATGTGGGATCATGACCTGAGCCAAAGGCAGATGCTTAATGACTAAGCCACCCAAGCACCCCAAGAATACTAGTTTTCAATAAAATATCTGCATTATGCAAAGAGCTATATGCTCATTTTATATATCTTATTTAATCCTTTCTTTTTTTTTTTTGAGAAAGAGAGAGAGAGTGTGCAGAGGGAGGGGCAGACGGAGAGAGAGAGAATCTTTTTTTTTTTTTTTTTAAGATTTTATTTATTTGCGAGAGAGACAATGAGAGACAGAGAGCATGAGAGGGAGGAGGGTCAGAGGGAGAAGCAGACTCCCTGCTGAGCAGGGAGCCTGATGTGGGACTCGATCCCGGGACTCCAGGATCATGACCTGAGCCGAAGGCAGTCGCTTAACCAACTGAGCCACCCAGGCGCCCGAGAGGGAGAATCTTAAGCAGGCTCCACGCCCAGCAAGGAGCCCGACATGGGACTCAATCTCACAACCCTAAGCCAAAATCAAGAGTCTGCCACTTAACTGACTGAGTTACCCATGAGCCCCTTAATCCTCTTTTAATACACATTCATAAAGTAGGTATTATTATACCCATTTTACAAATAAGGAAATGAGACCCATAGAGACTGAGAAACTTGCCTATAGTCACACAGCTATTAACTGACAGAACCATGACATGAAGTCAGCTTTGTCTGGTTCCAAAGTAAAACTGGTAATGGAGGAGTGCTTATTTCTGCCTTTTCATACTATCTTCAAAGAAAGGAGAAATGCATAAAAACATAAGCACCAGAAATTACATGCTTTCAAAAGAAAATGAGAATCTTCCATAATTCATCTATCAGATATCTAAGAAATGACAAATACTACCTTTCACAACACAGTGTCTGAGTCTCTGCTGAAGAGAGTGATATTTTTCTCTTAAAGGAACCCTTATGTCTTCAGGATTGGGAAATGCTTTCACAAAAATTTCTGCTACCTTCAGAAAAATTAAAAAAGTGAGTTTTATAAGCAACATCATTCTTAATTAAAATAAAGCAAAAATCCTTTAAAGTCTCTGATTTTCATTTAGTTTGTTTTCACCTACATTCACATTACCTTTCTGATTGGTGGCAGTTCTCCAATAAGGCTCAAAATTAGATCCTGAATAAGTTCTTCAATATCAGAAAACCGAGAGAAGGGCAGCATTCTGTACGCCCACTCCACTGCACTGAGGCAGTGCTCAACCATACAAGAATCAAACTCCACTTCGAGGTCCTAAAAGGATATTGAGAAATACATTTCCTTTTCAATTTAGATGGAAAGATCAGGATGAGTTCAAAAGAAAAATTGTTATTAACAGTAAAATCTTCTATCAAGCAATAATTTCCCAAGTAATGTTTGTTCATTTCCCTTATTCTTGTGCAAGTAAATACCTTTTTTCCCTCCACATTTTCTCTTGCTTTCTGATACTGCCTGCAACTATAGGATAACTTATCACGAATATGTAGCATCCAACACAAAGCACAAAGTTCTCTGAAGCAACCTAAATCAGGAATGCAAATATGAAAAATTGGATGAGTATATACATTCATATAGTAACAACTTCATCCCTGCTCGTTTTTTTTTCCAAAATAAATGTCCTTATTTTGTTGATTATAAAAGAAACATATGTTCATTGACAACACCTTATATAAAAGTCATGAAAATCCTTTCAGAATTTTTATGTACATTATTCTAGAATATTTCATGCATGGGCAGTTGCATAAAAATATTGAAAACATTTTTAGAGTAAATAACTTACTCTATTTACTAGAAGTTTACTTGCTTTAAGCTTCTTAGCGTATTGTAGATAATGTTCAAAACCAATATACACAGCTCTTCTTAATACTGTATAGTTAATTTATTTGGAAAATCCCTTATGATAGGCAACTAAGTTTAAAATTTTTCAATACTAGAGACATACTTTCCACTATTAAACAATTTTTTAATTAAAAGCAATAAAAGTACACAAAGACATATATAATCATACTATGTATGCTGTGTTGAACCTAGGTCTTTTTTTCATAATGTATCCTGGTTATCTTTCCATGGTGGTAACATACACATACTGTCTTTTCATTGCCAATACAGTATTCCATTGTATAGAAACTTCCCCAAATCAACTGTTTATATTATATCATTATTAATATTTAGGCCTAATTTCTAAGCAAGCAGTTCATTTTGGACAAACCTATTGCTTTAATGGAAACTTCATCAAGCTTGTGGTCTCCAGCTGCTCCAGGTCGAAAGAATGCTACACCTCCTTTACAGTAATTAAGTAATGACTGAGGGAAAGGACTCAATGAAGGAAGGGACCCTTTCATTCGAATCTGAAAGAATGACAGAATATGTTAATTATCAGTGATCTAAATCTATTTTTGAGGAAGCTATAAAGGAACAAACAAGGCAGGTAAGATAAACCATATAGAATGGAAAACACAGCATGGTTCCTATACTATGTAAGAAAATATCCCTGAAATGAGCTGTACTTTCAGAAACTTAGCTCACAAATTTAATTCAAGAATTCACTAGGCTAGGGACGCTTGGGTAGCTCAGTTGGTTAAGCATCTGCCTTCAGCTCAGGTCATGATCCCAGAGTCCTGGCATCAAGTCCCGCATTGGGCTCCTGGCTCAACGGGGAGCCTGCTTCTCCCTCTGCCTGCCGCTCCCCCTGCTTGTCCGCTCTCTGATAAATAAATGAATAAATAAAATCTTTAAAAAAAAAAAGAAAGAAATTCACTAGGCTAGATCACAAAAAGAGAAAAGAAGGGCGCCTGGGTGGCTCAGTTGGTTAAGCGACTGCCTTCGGCTCAGGTCATGATCCTGGAGTCCCGGGATCGAGTCCCGCATCGGGCT